GACCAGGTTAGCCGTGCATTGCGTAAGAGCTCAAGACGGCAGCGAATGCTGCTCTCTAGAATTTCCCTAATGAAAGTTGCCTTTGCAAGGGTTTATTTTTCCGTACGTAGGGTTTTGTTGTCCTGACTGTACTTCATGGAAGTACATCGGGAAAGGTGCAGTGTGTGTGGACAGTGGAAACCATTTGCTCTTGGGCAGCGTGTGCGGGGGTTTCTAAGGGTGCCCGGTCCCCGGGGCAGGCAGCAGCCACCCCGGTGTCTGAACCGTGCAGCCCTGCTGCCGCTGAACCCTCTCCGAGGTCACGTCAGCAAATGGTTCTGTGTGCTGGGAATGGCTGTTGCTGTGAATGAATAGGCCCTCCTGCTGGACTACTGCCTTTATGTTAGAGCCCTGTGCGGATGGCGAGGAGCCATGGTCGCTGGCTGCCTTCCTCTGAGGCCGGGGCCGAGGCCGCTGCGGCTGAGGCCCATCTGGAACATCAGCAGTGGCGACACCGACAGGCAGACGGTGCCTCAGCTCCTGCGAGTGACCTGGGCTTGCGATAACCCGCTATAATGGTGAGGGCGGCAGCGTCTCCGGCAGCCTGGAGCCGCTGCCTGCCTTGCTGCCGGCCGAGGGGATCCGAGGGGCTCCAATGGCAGGTGTCGCTGCTGCTGGCGCTGAGACCCTCCGGAGCGCCCGGTGCCTCTGTGGGGCCTGTGCGGAGGGCTCTGGCCCTGCCCTGAGGGCTGCCTTGCCGCCCTCACCGTCTCTTTGTAGCCTCGCGTCGCCTCGCCATGCTCCTGGCGCGCGTTGTTCAGAGGGCTCCTAACCCAGCTGGGGCCCAGGTCGCGCTGGGCTCCTGTCCGCTGCTCTCGCTTCCAGGACTCTGAGTGCGGCGCTCTGTGATAGCGTCCGGATGCTCCCGGCGCAGCCAGCATCTTCACGATGCCCAGGTCCCTCTCGGCGGGGCTGCTCTCCAGAAGGTCAGTGAGGTCACTAAAAAGGAGAAGAACTTCACTCCTTAAAATACAGAGTGTTTTGGAGCACCTGATCCCTCTGTGGAGGCTCAGTGTGAGGACCTCCAAGTGCCTCTCTTTGGAAGGAGATGTGGGGTCTACAAGCAGTCTCCCTCTGGGACACTGGAACACCTTGGTTCACCTGGCAGTGCTAAAATCTGAGGTTTTGGCCCTTGCCTCCAACAAAACACCAGCTGTGTTTTCATTTCAGGGGAAAAAACTAATGAATGACTCTTGTCACCTGTTGACAAAATGCCAGTTTTTAGGGAGAAGGCCCTTTCCATGTGCCACTGGGGACAGCTGATGCTCGGGGGAACAGCGGGGCTGACAACCCAGGCCGCGCTTCCTGCAGTGCTCCGGCCGCGCTTGGGTCTGGACACACCAGTAGCAGCTCCTTGGTGGGAGCAGCTCCCTGGGGGGGTCACGCCTCGGCCAGGGTGGGAGAAGCGGCTCCGAGTCGCCTGCGTGCCCTGAGCATGACCGGCAGCTGGGGCGCCCGCAGTGGGGCCGGTGTGTGGGTGGACGTGGCGGCAGCACTGGGCCTCCCTCCGGCACACGGCACGTGCCGGGTGCCGCGCGTGGCCCCGGAGTGCACATGCCTGGGGCAGCCCGGGAGCAGAGGCCTGGAAGGCCCAGGTACTAAACGCGTTTGCTGCCCCGCGTCTGTGTGAGCGCTCGTGCTGACACAGGCTTTGAAGGGCCTTGTCCTCAAATGCATCTTGGCGCTGTGGGTTTTACAAGTGTTTTTCTGTGTCCGTCGCCCTGGAGTCCAGGTGTCCTGTATCAACAAGAGCAGAGATAAAATTTGCTTTAATGGCAACAATTACGCTTAACTACTTGGAGCCAATCTGGCAGAAAGAACAAAGTGTTCAAACTGCCAGGTTATAATGTGATGTACTATTACGCTAAGGCAATAAGGAAAGAGATGCCTTCTTGTGGGGGGAACAGACTTTTTCCTTTTTTTTTTTTTATATTAGTATTACAGCACAGACTCATAAAAAAGAGAGGTCTTGAAATCAGTGTTGAAGGTAGTAGGTTAATGTTAAAGGTAGTAGTTGAGTTTAAAGTAGGATGATGACCCCCCCCCCTCGCTGGCTGCCTGCCCTAGCTAGGCACTCTAGCGAGTGGCACCTGTCACTCGTGTCCTTTTAAAGGGCAGTTCAGATTAAACTGGATGGTGGCCCAGGCTGGCTGGTTGCTCAGAGGCCAACACGTGTGTTGGGGGTTTCTCCCCTCTTTCCTTTTTCTAATTCCTTTTAATGCCCTGTGAGATACACGTTGAAGGACCTGCACTTCTCTTTCCTTGTTTTACATGGGGGGATCTGAGTCAGGACAGTTTGGGTCTTTTTTCCTTTCGTTCCTTTCCCCTCAGCCTGGTGGTAGCACAGCTGCCCTGACACTGGTCAAGAGCCGGGGGGTTTTGGCTCTTTCCCTGTGAGGGGAGGGCTGGCATCTTGTTGGCGGCCCTGCAGAAGGGTGCATGGAGTGGGGAGCTGCTGCCCCACATGCCCGTCTCACCCACCCCCAGCAAGGTACCAGCTGCTGCTGCTGCACGTGGGCGGTTTGGCTGGGGGGCCGGTTTGTGCAGTGCTCTTTTGTGCCGCAGTTGTCGCGTTGCGTTGAACTGGAGCCTTCCGACGCGTGTTTGAAGCCAGCAAAGGCACCATGAGCTTCCTGCCTTGTCCAGATTCCTGGAATAAATCATTGTCTTTATTACCAGCTCCTGCTAGGACTTTGCTCTCGTACAGTAAACGAGAAGGTTCTTTATTAGCTAACCTTGAACTGTCTTTTCAGAGTAGGTTTTTGTTTTGCTTGATCAAACACGGCATACACAGGCCTCGTATTGCAGGTGCTCTGGCCCCGAGCAGCCCGGATGCACGCGCCACCCGCCCACCGGCGGCAGTCGGTTGTGACCAGCGGGTGCAAGGGATGGGTCCCGTGTGCAGGGAGCTCCTGTGGGAAGCGCTTTGGCTCTTCAGTGCCCGTGTCCAGTTAAACCCTTGCCCAGCCACGGTAGTGGAGGGCGCAGTGGCAGGCGATGTTTCCGCCACCTCAGGAGCCGGGGTGGGAGCGTGAAGCAGCCCGGCACTTGCACGGGTGCTGCCTGAGCAAGTGTCCRCAGCTGCGGGCACCATGGCTCCCCTTCCTGCCAGGAGCCTTTCCCTTGGGAGCAGCTCACTCTGGGAAACACATTTTGTCCCTATACAGAGCACAGGAGCCCCCCATAACCCACATCCGGCGGCACGGAGCAGCCTGCTCTCCCGTGGGAAGGGGCTGCCTGTGTTTGTGGAGCCCACGGCCACCCTGGCAGGCAAGGGCGGCTCCAGCCCTGCTGCTCCCGCTCTGCCCTTCTCTCTGTGCCGCAGCCCGTAGCAGGGAACGGTTCTTCCAGCCGCGCAGGCTCTGGGCTAACGTGCCCCTCTCAGAGCGCAGGCTGCTCCCCAGCCGCACAGATCAGGCGCCTGCCGCAGTTACTGAGCTTGGGGGGAGAGGATCGCAGAGCCCCTAGGGCAGCCACCCTGCTGCGAACAGCAGTGCAGTCTCTCCGCTCCACAGCGGCAGYGGCCCATGGGAAACCCGTGTCCAGCCCTCCGGGAATGCTGAATCCGCTTTCGCTTTCTGCACAGGTGCAGTACTTCTTCAAGATTCTGGACAACTAGCAGCCTCCAGCCCCACCGCACCAAGGAAGCAGACGCAGCAGCGTGTGTTCATTCATTTTTATTTGTCCAATGYTTCAATCTGACTGAAATACAAGATCAACAAGAGCACTGTACTCCTGGCTATTTTATTACATGTTAGAACATAGAGTTTTGCACTTTAGACAACATTTAACATCGGTCTATGGGGTCTGCATTGCTTTTATAAAGTTTAAAATAAAGATTTATTTTCAAACATGTGACTTTGGTTTATTTCATACATTACACTTTCTTGCAGAAAAAATAAAATTGTACAACTGCATAAATATAAAATTCTTCCACCATGAAAATGGTTAAAACATTCAAAAAAGACATTAGCACCACAGTGTGCGATGCCTTCAGCAGGAAAAAAGAAAAAAAACAACAAAGGAACTATACAAAGCAAAGAGTTATGGCTACCACTGCGCAGAGTGATAGTCTGACCCAGGTCTCTCACGCAGCGTCCTGGAGGATGAGGGGAAGCGGGAGCGCACGAGGCAGCAGTCGCTATGAGCACAGAACACAATCAGCGTCACTTAAGTTAGTTTCCCCTGCCGCCCCTTCAAATAAACTACCCTAACACCACAGGAAAGTCAGAAGCCTTATGGAGTGCCGTTAAATAGAGTCTCACAGGTGGGCCTTTCTTTTAAAA